TATTTCGGGACACCTTATTTTAATTGCCAAATAATATATTAAAAGTATAATTTGAAGGCTTCTTATATCCTAGAAAAATACATTTTATTAAGGTGTGGCGATTATATCGTCACATATTCCCCAGTTTACATATATGCGAAACTTACGCGGGACGAAAGGAAAAGCGAGACGCGAGACAAAATAAACAAGTGAAAAGACACAACGGACAAGACGGGGAGACAAAGACGATAATCGAGACTCGAAAACAATAACACAAGCGAAATTAAAAAGGATGAGTCGAGAAGATTCTCGAAGGTCGTAGGAACGGGCAGGAAGAGAATAGATAGCGCGGGTTCGAGAGATTCGGCCCCCGTCAGTTATCGCGTGCGGACGTGCGACCGAAGGAAAAGTCTGTACCGATTGAAAGTCGTAAAATTAAATGGATACGAACATTAAAAGGCCTCGATTCTTTTCACACACACACTCTCTTTCTTATATATGTGCATATTACATCCTGCACTGATCAATTGGCACGTCAGGTAGTTAAAAAGGTTTGAAATTTTCAAAAACTACGTATATGTATTCAAACTATAAATTTTACATCATATTTGATCTCTCTAAAGTATAGTTTCTAATTATATTTTACAAGTCTTCAAAGTATACGGAACGGACCAGATAAATTATAATAAAAGATGACCTCGAAGTAAGTTCACAATATATAAACTACATAAATGAATCAAGAGACACGGTAGTGTCTCACGACCAGTTAAGGGCGTAGCCGACGAGACACCGTGTATCTTAACGCGAGTCGGGCAGTTGTATTATTTCGGGACACCGCTAAATAATATATTTAAAGTATAATTCGAAGACATGTCCTCGAAATATACATTTCATTTGAGTTCTCAGAGTAAATAAATTATATAAAAGATGACCTCGAAGTAAACTCACAATATATAAACTACATAAATGAATGTATTATTTCGAGACACCGCTGAATAATATATTTAAAGTATAATTCGAGGACATGTTCTCGAAATATACATTTCATTTATGAGTCCTCAGAGTAAACGTTGAGTATAAAAAATGCTTTAACACCCAAAATATTGTTTTATTTTTAAAAATGACAATTATCTAAACTTTGGGAGTTTATCTAATATGGTTTGCAATTGAAAAAATAGGGTGTCCCAAAATATACGCTGGACATATGAGGACATGTCCTCGAAATATACGCTGAACATATGAGAGCATGTCCTCGAAATATACATTTCATTTATGAGTCCTCAGAGTAAACGTTGAGTATAAAAAATGCTTTAACACCCAAAATATTGTTTTATTTTAAAAATGACAATTATCTAAACTTTGGGAGTTTATCTAATATGGTTTGCAATTGAAAAAATAGGGTGTCCCAAAATATACGCTGGACATATGAGGACATGTCCTCGAAATATACGCTGAACATATGAGAGCATGTCCTCGAAATATACATTTCATTTATGAGTCCTCAAAGTAAACGTTGAGTATAAAAAATGCTTTAATATCCAAAATATTGTTTTATTTTCAAAAATGACAATTATGCAGAGTTTGGGAATTTATCTAATATAGTTTGCAATTAAAAAAAGAGTGTCCCAAAATATACGCTGGACATATGGGAGATTGTCCCCAAACCATACGTTTGATATGTGATTAGTTTGAGGCCTGTCCCCAAAGTATACAAATGTCCTCAAAGTATGCATACGCTTGAAATTCTGTCCCCGTTATATGCGCACGACATATATATATATATATATATTTGTATCACATCGGCAATCTTTCTGTCTTTCTCTGTTATATGTTCAACGCGTTACGAAAATATATCAGCGTGCTAAGTAAAGCCATTAACGATTCCCTGGTGTGCAATATACTAATTCTAAACGCCGTGTAATCGAGATAGGGAAGTTGATAAGGAATTACTAGATTCAAACGCCCCCGTTCTAATAAGCTAATTAAACGAGAGATGCAACACGGAGATATACTTGACCGTCGTCTTTAGAAAGTTATTTCAAACGAGTGTATATAAGCTTATTTACTGATGATTTTCAAAGTTTATCACTCATAGCCAGCAGCACCCTTTTTTCTTCTCTTCTCTCCCGATGCAATGATTATATTTGTTTGATCTATTCTTCATCGGCCGCTACTATTTCTGTAATAATTAATATGCATATACATATATATATATATATATATATATATATATATATATGTATATAAAGATATTTGCAGGACAAGAGAGGTTGTAGCTTATTCGATATTGACAATAATCGATATTTTGTTGGTGATAACACAATTTATTAGATGAAATCTCTGCCTCGTATTTTCATTTATTTATATATATTATATATAGCATATGTTCATTTACATGTAAAGATTTTGCTCCCATTTGTTTCCGTGACTAATTTAATCGATGAGAACTACATTTTTTATTATATGCTGGAAATTGTTTTTATTCTATTTTTATTTTTTATTTTTCTTAGAGAATAAAGTCAAGTAAAACAAAACTTGTAGAAATGATCAAAAGCGTCAGCAGAATTTTTTCTAGAATTATAAATTATAATATATAATATATTATATACATATATATAGTATATGTTCATTTACATATAAAAATTTCGTTCCCATTTGTTTCCGTGATTAATTTAATCGATGAGAACTACATTTTTTATTATATGCTGGAAATTGTATTTTTATTTATTTATTTATTTTTTTTAAGTATAAATAAGTCAAGTAAAATAAAACTTGTAGAAATGACCAAGAGCGTCCGCAGGATTTTTTCCTAAAATTATAATACTTATAGAAAAAATTAGAAATCAGAGAAAATATATTTTTCTATGAATTAGGCAGAGAAATCGACAAGATTATACAAATTGAAAATAATAATGTACATAAACAATTAGCATACATACATATACATAACATTAGCATACATATTATACATACATAAACAATTTAATAATATTTAGCTTTAACATCTATTGAATATTGTAATTAAGATTAACAAATAATCCAGAATTTGGATTAAGAGGAAAGACGCGGTAAAAAAAAGATTGCTGACGGAAGATTAATTATATTTGCGGAGATTCATCTCGAGTTCGAATTTAAATACAACTCACGGATGAGATAAATAATTCCGGAATGGAATAATGCATGCAATTTTATAATTAATTATTCGGAGAAGATCGCAAATGTATTTTTCTTCTTTTTTATTAACAGCTCTATTTTAAATACAGAGAAGCAAGAATTTTTGACGTCCCTCGCAATAACCTTATATGAAATAAATTTCGGTTAAATCAGCTGGTTTTTCATATGTTTTTATAGCTTATAACCTGCTGAACAAAATAAGATTCAATAGCCTCAAAGCTAAATAATGAACAATTGAAAGTCCGAGTTTCCGCACTAATCCTATAAAATTGAATCTTAGTAAAATCTGCTGTTTTTTTCATATGTTTGCTAAACAAAAAATCTAATAAACTCGTCAAAGCTAAATAATAGACAGTTACTGATATTACAGCCAGTCAAACATGAAAAACTCAAAACGAATAGTTTGACTGGCTGTAGTTTTATAGTAACTGTTCATTATATTTAACTTTAAAGGTATTACATTTTTTGTTCAGCAGGTCATAAAACTATCCAGATAGCAAAAGTAGCCATTTTTGGCTACGTTAAATTACGTTATTTTGACGTATGCTGTGTATGTATATTAAAGTGACGTCATAATTATTATATTGCTATCTGGGTACAAATATGGAAAAATCAGTTGACTTAACCGAAATCCATTTTACATAATTAAGTTTACTTATTAAATAGAACATAAAACTCATATAATGACATCATGATCATTCACACACAAGTAATTTTGGAAAAATAATTTTATATATTACAATTATTTATTTATTATTCTGTTGTTCATATTTTAACAATATTCAAGTGACAATTTTTTGTTGCTTAAATTTTTTGAAAATTTATATAAAGCGATTATCTTATATTACGGCCCAAGTAGAACATAAAATTCATCATGATTTTATTCATCACTTAAAAGTTACCTCGATAAAAATTATTTAAAGTTAAAAAAAAAGAAATCATAAAGTTTAAAGCTCCCTAATATAGGATAATCGCTTTGTATAATTTTCAAAAGATTTATATTGCTTGAATATTATGTGTGTGAACAATAGATTTTTTTTTCAAAATGAATTTTAAGTAACATTATCACGATGTCATTGTGAATTTTATATTCTACCTGAAGAGGGCTTTAATCCTTTTGTCATTTTTAAATAATTTTGATTCATTTTGTCCAGATAACTTAATTTTAAGTGATGACTAAAATCATGATAACATCATTATAAGTTTCATGTTCTACCTATAGGGTTACTTTTTTTTATTTGCAGCTTTTCGCGTCGATGACAAGCTGACAAATAACTCATATCGGCGCCGAGCCGTCTCAAGCAGCAAACTGACGTCATAAACGTCAAAATTATGTCATTAAACGTTAAAACGATGTCATTCATATAAACCTCGCTCGCTCCTGTGGCTCCATATTACAAAATACAGAAAATTCGCACGTTATATTCACGTACACATTCTCCAAACCTCAAGGACGGAGGAGGGCGTCGGAGGCGAAGGCGGCGGCGCCGTGAGCGAGTTCTCGCGGCACCTCGCGGCGTCCGGTGGCGAACAGCAAGAATCGCGCGATTTCGCAGCGCGACGACGTTGGTTCGGTTGGGGAGCTGCTCCGTCTCTCCCATCACACATACACACTTACCTTCCCTACGTTCGGCGACGGCGGCGGCACGCTTTTGTTCCTCACGACACGCGAGTGCGCGGGAGAGACGCGGGAGAGACGTGGGAGAGACGCGGGAGAGACGCGTGACGTAGAACATACGAGCGAGCTAGAAGAAGAAGAAGGAGGGGGCGAAGAAGAAGAAGGTGGAGAGGGAGGCGAGGAAGGAGAAGGCGGCGGAGCCGGGAGAAGGAGTGAGAGGGAAACCGCGTCGGGAAGCGGCTGGCACACGCGGTGTGTCGCGAAAAATGGCGAAGACGTTTCGCGCGGTCGCGGTCTCGGGCTCTGTCAAACAATGGGCAGACCACGCCGAAGTACAACAAGCCGGTCGCGCTCAATATCAATTACGACCCGCAGGGCCTCAGCGTCGAGTTCGTCTCAGGTACGAGAATCCGGCCCCGGGAGCTTCGCTTTGTCCAGGGTGGAAGGCGTCGTCGTCGTCGGGAACGACGACGACGACGCGACTGATCGATCGCGAGACCGAGCCAACCCGGCGACATAACCACACTTCCCCGAGGTGTAGCGTCGACTGATCTCCTATTTTTTCCCTTCCCCCTTCCCCCTCTCCTCCTCCAGGGGGAGATCGCGCCCGGGCAGTGTCGCGACCCGGTCGATCGCCGGTGATCTTCCTGGTTCTTTGTCCTTTTTTCGGTCTTATTTGTCTCGTTGTTTGCTTTGTGATAAAGAAACATGGCTCGGGCGAATTTTATGTTTTTGTCCCTTTTTAAATAGGCAGGTGACGCTTGAAATGGGTATAAATTGTTCATCTGTCATTTCAAGTGTCAGATGTATATATATGTTATCTTTTGATGATATTTATTCTTTACAATTATATGCTTATTTTGTCAATATTTCTTTATATTTTTCCTTATATATATATATATATATATATATATATATATGTGTGTGTGTGTGTGTGTGTGTGTGTGTGTGTATATATATATATATATATGAATCAGGGTTGCGTTCCAAAACATCCTCTTCAAGGAAAATTTTACTCAAAATCTATAGATATATGTAACATATATTATAGGTTTTTCTGTAAAATTTTCCTCAAAGAGGACATTTTGGATGCAACCAGGATGAAAAGATATCACTCATGTCAATGCATTTAATTAACGTCTTTGGTATTCTTTCCAGATGTTAACAACAAGGAGAAGACAAGTCTATTGGAATTTCCAGTCACTCCCAGTACTGAATGTTCTCGCGTATCATCTCGAAGTTATGTTTTTACACTTGATACAGATAGTTTACTCATTACATTTGCTAATGAAACAGGTGAGCCAAAAATTCTCGCACCTCAAGATCATGTTAAGCATTCCGCTCTTATGTAAAATAAATTTCAGTTGAATTTAGCTGATTTTTAATATATTCTAACTTATGATCTGTTTGAACAAAATATGTAATAGCCTCAATGCTAAATAATGGACGATTATTGAGCTACAGTCAGTCAAATAACTCCTAGAATCTGAGTTTTTGTGTTTAATTAGCTGTAAATCAGTCTATTTATTATACAACTGTCCTTTGTTTAGCTTTGAACTTATTACTTTTTGTTCAGCAAATCATAAGCTATAATACATGAGAAAACCAGATTTTATTAAAATTTAACTTTATATAAGATTAATATGGAATTTTTAAATTTATATGAAATTGGATCTCGATGAAATCAGCTGGTTTTTTTTATATGTTGTAGCTTATGATCTATGGAACAAAAAATGTAATAGGCTCAAAGTAAAATATATAAAACTCGAGCTTTGCAAGCTATTTGACTGGATGTAACTCAATAATGTCCATTATTTAGCTTATTTAGCTATTACATTTTTTGTTCAACAGATCATAAACTATAATATATGAAAAATCAGTCATATCAACTGAAATTCAGTTTCCGTAAGGATTAAGGTCCTTTGTAGACATTACAAAAGTATATATCTGTGAGAAAGAGAATTTCAGCAGATACATTTTTTGATTCACAGATTTTCGCAACTTTCATTCGCACATAGTAAAACTCAAGATAGGAAAAGGTATATCAGCATTCAATGAAAGAACAGAAGAATCCTCAGCAATGCAGTATTTTCAATTTTATGGCTATCTCTCGCAACAACAAAACATGATGCAGGATTACATTAGGACTAGTACATACCAGCGAGCAATTCTTGGCAACTTGTCAGATTTTAAGGATAAGGTTGTACTAGATGTAGGCGCTGGTTGGTATATTGTCGTTTTTTGCCATACAAGCCGGTGCGAAAAAGGTGTACGCAGTAGAAGCGAGCAACATGGCGAACCATGCCGAGCTGTTAGTCGCAGCTAATAATTTATCGGATAAAATAATAGTCATAGCCGGAAAGATAGAAGAGATCGACTTACCCGAAACGTGTGGACTGTATAGTGAGTGAACCTATGGGATACATGTTGTATAACGAAAGAATGCTTGAAACTTATTTGCATGCAAAGAAATGGTTGGCTCCAGGTAAGCATTTAGTTTCTTTCTTCTGCTAATTTTATTTTATTTTTTTCCTCTTTTTTAATTAAATATTTTTACCCATAGGTGGAAGAATGTTCCCTTCTAGAGGTGATCTGCACATCGCACCTTTCTCTGATGAAAATCTCTATATGGAACAGTTCAATAAGGCCAATTTTTGGTATCAGACATGTTTCCATGGAGTAGATCTCTCTGCTATGAGAAATAACGCTATTAAAGAGTACTTTAGGCAGCCGATTGTCGATACTTTTGATATTAGAATATGTATGGCGAAATCTGTGAGGCATATAGTAGACTTCCAAACAGCTGATGAGACTGATTTACATAAAATAGGTATAAAATGAGAAATTAAATTACATACAAAGAAAATGTGCGACACACTGCTGACGTTTTGCAAAATTTTCTTCCCTTTAGAAATAGATGTCGATTTTCATATACTGGAGAGTGGTACTTGCCACGGTCTAGCTTTCTGGTTCGATGTAGCATTTATCGGATCCACGCAACAAGTCTGGCTGAGTACAGCTCCTACAGAGCCTCTTACTCACTGGTATCAAGTACGCTGCCTCCTAGAAAATCCATTATTTTGTAAAAGTGGACAACTACTCTCTGGAAAAGTCATCCTTATAGCAAATAAAAGGTAAATATCATATGCTCTGATCTTTACGTGTTTCCAATTCCATCCCAAGTAGCAAACTGACGTCATTAAACATCAAAATGATGTATTGCTTGCTATTAAATCTTCAACTCTAAATACAGGGTGTCCCATAGGAAATTGCTGAAACTAATCAGCTGTCATTTTTAGTCCATGTAGTATTCAGAAAACAAAAATTGTGTTGAAAAGAGGAAAGTTTGCAGTTTTAATGGATATAAATAAAATGTTGTATACCAGTTTATTTTATTGAAAAAAATAATGAAAAAAAATGCTAATAATCATATGTAAACTAATGATTAATGATAAATATTTTCAAAGTGTGCACCATTTGAAATTGTATTACATTCTGTTCTTTTACGAAAACTCGTAAAAACTTTTTCTAATTGTCATTTTTTAAGTTATCGACGATCCTTTCAATAGCTGCTATTAAATCTGGCACTGTCGAAAATATTTATCATTAGTTTATGTGATTTTAGCACTTTTTTCAATACTTTTTATCAATAAAATAAACTGGTATACAAACATTTATATCCATTAAAAACTGCAGACTTTCCTCTTTCCAACACAATTTTTATTTTCTCAATAACTGCATGCATTAAAAAATCAGGGTGTATACTTCCTGGAAAACCAAGAATTCTCAAGAAATTTTGTTCTACCTTGAAATCCTGGAATTATCATGGAATTTGATTTGAACTCAGAGAATTAAAAAAAAATGCCCCTCTGATTTTAAAATATAAAAATTATTGGTTTTATATAAAGTATATATTAAAATATATTTTATTATAATATAATACTATATTACATTATTATATTAAAAAATACTTCATTTATGTTAAAAAATTATGTATAACATATAAACTTATTTCAAAATTGTATTCTATAAATATTATTAAAAATACTTAACTTTACCTGGGAATTTGAACAAAAGTATCTGGAAAATCATGGAATCCTCAGGGAACTTATTTCTAAGATTTGAGTATACACTCTGAAAAATGACAGCTTAGTTTCAGCAATTTCCTATGGGACACCCTGCATATAGCTTGTTTTTATTTCCATACTTATTTTGTTATATGCAGATATATGAATAAATTACATTTCAGAACAATCCTACGATGTAACAATAGATTTGAAGCTTGAAGGAAACGAAATATGGAAAGCAGTAGCAAACCTTAGACCTGAAAAAATCCTTACTTCCGATACACAGGCGCCGGCCGGCGCTAGCCAACCCCAGGTTTAAATAACACCTCGCCTAGTGAATCTATTGGACGACCTTGGACAGCGTCAGGTGCTCGACAAGCGGTGAATATGGTGAATGGAATGTCCGTAAACGGGCTCGGAGAGGTCTCGATGGACACAAGTGCGACCGTAATCCAAAAATTTGATGGCAATAGGTAAGTTGGTTTGACTCTT